ACTTGCATAATTACATTACGCCTCCGTGATTTTAGGTCACAGACAAGTTTGACTTTACTCCTCAGACACTATGAATTAACCAATGAAAACGTTTCTTATTTTTTCTAACTAACCATTCGAAAAGGGAGACGTCTATCGACATTAAAGTAACTAGAAAACCTAAACCAACTAAAAATAACACACGACCTTATCTTAATGAGATTCCTACGCATTTTATTCATGAGATCAAGACAAAAGGTTATGACGTCATTAGCGTTAATTTATCCCTGCGCACGCTCAAAATCTGGTCACTTGGTATCTCGTTGCGCCAAATACAATTTTCAAACTCTTCCAAAGTGGTCAAAGGGTTAAAAGCCATGACTGCTACTGATCTGAATCTCACAGTTTGTGAATGATGTGTGTGGAACGTGAGCGCACTTTTATTTGGAAGACATAATAGATTCTAAAATAACCAATCAGTGTCGAAGGTTTTGTGAAAACAATGGGGCAAGTTCAGGCAAGTCTATTGAAGCATTGTCATGAAACCTGTGTTTGGAACCGGTTTTTCTGGTTACTGATCAGTTAATGAGAATCCTCCGCATTTTATTCACGAGATCAATACAATAGCCTATGACGTCAGCGAAGTTAATTTATTCCCCCCACCTTAATGAGATTCCCCCATAAAAAACCGGAGTAAAACATCCCTCCTATACTACTGGCCCGAGCTCAAATCCCGGCGTCGACGTCATATGTGGGTTGAGTTTGTTGTTGGTTCTCTTTCTTGCACCGAGAGGTTTTTCTCCGGGTACTCTGGTTTTCCTCTCTCCTCCAAAACCAACATTTCCAAATTCCAATTCGACAAGGAATCAGGTAGACGAGAAACCACTTTGTGGATGTACTACTTCCAAATCATCATTTATTATTTATTTTATTTATTAAGTTGCTCTAATCACTGAAATGAATGCTCATTGAATAACGCTGAATAACGACGCCTTTATAAGCGGACTTTAAGGACGTAAGACTCTTAGTTTGCTTTTTCTTGCAAAGAATAACTGAGGGGTACTTCAAATATTTTGCTGCCAGACTGCATGGTAGGTCATTCCATTTGCCGGGTCTGTCTCCTTTGCCAAACATGTTTCCACAAGTTTCATTACCACTACCATCTGGACTTGTGACGACTTTGTTTTGTTTCGTTTTTTTCTTTATTTTTGCTTTAAACCAGCAGAGAATCCATATACATTAAAAGAAGAGACTGCAGATCCTTATCTTAATTAATCAGCTGATCTAAACTCTTGTCAGTTATGATCTGCTTTTGTATCACTTACGTTATTCTTTAGCTTTACTCAGAAAGGCGCCTCAAATCAATTAGACTTTTCTTTTCGGTTGACATTTGGCCTTTTTAATCTGTTTTGAAAGTTTTTCACTTAGTTTGCTTTTTTCTTGCAAAGTATAACTGGGGTATACTTCAGTTTGTCTGGAACAACAGAGCATGGTATGTCGTTCCACTTTCCTGCCCGACCTCCTTTACCGAACATGTTTCCACACTTTTCCCCCACGTTGTTCGGCTCGCCCCTACCCCAAGCCGTGTAACCATTTGCCATTGCAGTGCCATCAATCCAATAAAACTTATTGTCGGCTTTGCGTACGAATCCCAGCCAGACCCCCCACTCCTGGACTGTTGACTGTTTTGTTACCAGTGTGAATATAAAGGCATTTTCAGCTGCAGATCTGATTATAGCGAGATCTCCTCCGAGCATCTGGCACATTCTTCGAGCATGAGAGCAATTTAAGGTTGGGATGTCAATAATGAGATAGCTGTTATTGGCAAAACTAACCCAACCGTCTTCAGGGCAAACTGTTAAAAAAAGGAATTCAGTTAGACACATTTTGCTTTACAAGTTTACGAGACATAGTTTGGCAAGTTTTTAAGAGAATCCTTGATTAAACACATCACGTCTCATTGAAAAAACTCGGGGGAGTGCTCAGCAAAGATTTACCTGGAGAGGCTCCGCTTAGAGGTCCAACTCATTCCCCCTTTCTTTCATCATGTTTACAGCCGAGAATAGATACCCCACCCTTTTTCGTATACAGGTATGTACCTTTCACTGCAAAATGGCACCCAATTTGTCTTACTTCTGAAGAGAGCAAAATCGACGAGTCTTCCTATCGTATGAATGAAGTTTTGATTAAAACGGCCCTTTCAACACCCTTAAAATATCGTTACCACTATAAGGATAAATTTCCCTGTGCTTTCATACCATGACTTCAATTCGCGAAATTCCTAGGCCGTTACAAAAAGTAACTTCTCAAGAATAGAAACACGGATAAACCTCGAATTACCTCTAGATGTCGATTTTTTATGCAAAGAGTCGATCTTGTATTTCATCTCCATCAACATTTTACGATCATCGTTCCCTAGGCCCCAGTTGTTGATCTGATTTTGGATGTTATTAACTTGTTGGGGTCGCTGATCATCACCAGGTGATTTCACGTTGAGGTTGGTAGGTGTTCCTTGTGACGAACCACCAAAACCAAGGATAACTGCAGCTGCAAAAACGATTAACAAATTACGAAACATGTTTGAGGGCTCGCCCGAGCTAATGAAGTGTCCCTTGCAAATGTGCGTGTCTTTTAAGGACTAGGAATTGTTATAAATGCGATCTTTTATGGGAAAACAGCCAAACTAAATAGCGGAATGTTTGGGGAGATAAAGTAAAAAAAAAAACGCTCGCTAATAGCATTAGGCAGGTGTCAAAGAGTATGCCTATTAAGTTTAGATTATAGTTCAAAGTATGGAAAAACAAATAAGTCATTTTCCTACCATTTTCTGTCCCAGGTCTAAATTAGGGTGCCTGCTAGGTATTGGTTACTTTGGCCTGATTTTCATTTGTAAGGCCTTCCCTCAGACACACAGATCAAACCGATAAATCGTAACCTGTAAATTGACCGCCGCCTGAGGAATATCGTGTGTTCGAACCGGCCTTTATAACACGAAATTGTATTTAGGGGCTGACCAATTAACTTTAGAAAAGGAAGGGATGGACAATGTAGATGGGCAGTTGGGGGATTTTGTTGGCCAATCATTTGTTTTCCTATCCTACTTCTTTTTTCTCTAAAATCACCGAGGCTCTCCCCCAAAATTCACATGGTTCTCCCCTTAAGTTAAGGATTGATAAGTGAATTTCTTTGCAATAGTTTATTGTTTGAAGTAAATTATAAATCTGTTGACGGGATTTTCGCTTTTATCCTCCGGGCTAAATCTACATAATATATATATTTTTTCGTACTTCGAGTTAACAACAAACAAGAGCCCTTCTTGGAACTGTCCAGCTCTCACCAGTGAAAAGACACAGAGGTGAACATTTCTCCGACAAAAGGTTCTCCGTTGACAACTGCCACGTTTTAAACGCGTGGGGAGCTTCTTGCTTCATTGCTACGTAAATTTTCGATTTTGGTATTACCTTCTGTAAGGTGTCCGAGGTGGAAAGCCAATATATTTATTCCCCTGACAAAGTATCAATAAAAGACGACATACATGCATGATATGGTAACAGTCAACACATGGCAATATAGTACCTCAGTGTATGGAAGAAGTCGAACTTTGGCCACGCTTTGGTTTCAACGAAAAATTATCACTCAACTACCTTCAGCCTAGTAAGTTGTTTCAATCCAGTATCATGTGGAATACTGTTGTTAAAGCTCGCTGTCAATTCTTTGCAAAAGAGGTAAAAAGAATACAATATGACCAACCTCGTGTTATAAAGCTTCTTTAATAATCATAAAGATTGCCCTTTGTCGGTCTTTAATGTACAGGTAATCCAAAAGATCTTAGCGCTTAAAATTTATTCATTATGAGCAGTACTTTGAAGTCACGAAGAAAGTTAATCGTAAACCCGCAGTATCAATCATTTCCGCTTGAATCTTAAAATAACATGAACCTTGATGTGATCATTACATTATATTATTATTTCGGAGTATCTAGATCATTACGATTGTTAAAAGTGGGCTCTTTAGTTTCTGCGGTTGTTAATCACTGTACACGACAAATTTATTTCGTAATTATACGTTCCTTGTGTAGCAAAGCTCCATGCTAATGTGCGAATGTGTGTGTTTTAAGGAGTGAAAATATGTTTCTAAGACTCTTTATGGGAAAACAGCCAAAACCTTTGGAATGTGCGAGGACCTAAAAAGGCTCGAGCGTGTAAAGAACGCCGATGTTTTTTTTTTTGGAGCTTACGTCAAAACAAAAGGGCAGAGCTGTTGTGTTACTCACCAGCGAAGAGAGAATTATAGTGAAAGAAACTATCTCGGTGCAAAATGATAGGTTTAATTGTTTCAAAACTAACGGCTGTCTTTGGAAACCCCTGAGAGATTTTTCTGTTTAACTACTCAATTCAACTAAAAACGAGTGAAATTTGGGAGGACATGAAAAGAAAAATGATACACCTATGGTAATGTTGCAGAGGCAATCGATTAAACAAAAGAAAGGTTAAGCTATTTTGGCGATTGTCGAATCCTGGATCATGCTTGAGCCGCATCCTGCTAATGAATGAAGTGTTACCCACCAATGTGCGGTTCACACTTGCCAAAGAGTGTCACAGAAACCTATCCGATATTAGACATTGTACTTTCAAGATCGGCGCTGTGAACAGATGCCCTATTCTATTTCGGCCCTCTTCCAACCCTTTAAGAACACTCACCCCTCACCCTCCACTCTCCCAACTCCCGTACCCCTTTCGCTCCCTATTTTCCGGGGCTCCCACCCCCTTGTCCTTCCGACGAGCTTGTAGTGTTTTTGTTATGTAAATTTTCGATCTTGCTATTACTTCCGTGGAGGTGTAGTCGTCCTGGATGGGACGTCAATATATTAAGTCCTCACTGTAGTAATGAAAACCGACCTACAGGATGACGAGCATCATCACGCATGGTACATGCATCTTTCTGGTCTGGTCAAGTAGAGCTTTAACCACGCCTTACATTGTCTTATTTAGATCAGGCAAGTTTTTAAATAGTTGTCCCCTATAACTTGCTTTTCACCCCAATCACTGGTTTCAAAAAAAGTTAATAAATCACCCACTCAATTAGTTTTCAACTTGATATAAGCTTGTTTCAATCTATACTTCTGACGCTAGAATGTTTTTGTTAAAGCTTCAGGTTGTTGTCGATTTTTTGTCCTTTAATGATGTAAGATCATCCTTTTGATATAAAGCTACTTAACGAATTATTAAGGCAAGCCCCACGGCTTACTCAGCTTACGCTGTGTCTGTGTTCTTTGCACCATTAATCCGCAAAAATCCTCGCATTTAGTATAAACAGTGCTCTTAGATGTTATTTAATATGAGCTGCAGTAATTTCAAACGTTATGAAGAGAGATAATCGTAAAGATATCAATCATTCTCATTCGAGTCTCAAAATAAACATGAACCTTGATCTGACATAACACAAATGCCATCACGACCAATGACAGAACGAAGGTTTGCAACAGCATCGAACAAAGTCAATCGCTTATTCAACAGTAGAGTATACATACCGACACCGACAATAAGTTCTCCAGTAGGTGTGATAGGTATAGGTGTTACGGGTTCCGGAATTGGTTTCCTTATTTGAAGGCCGGGATTCGGTGTTTGAAGGCAAAATCGGGTTTGAAAGCATGCACTGGATGCGGGATGCCGAAAAAAAAAAACATCGGGATTACGGGATTTGCATCGGGTCGGGATGACGGGATTGAAGAACCCTATTGGGTATCCCCTAACTGCATGTCCTGACTACATGAAACAAAGGCTTTTGGAAACTCTTGCTACGGATATATATTTCCCTCTTGAAAAGGTCTGAGGCGCGAACATGGAAACACATGTCCATGCCTCAGCTGCGAGGTCGCCCTTACCGTCAATTCTGTTTTCCCCAAAGCGAAAGAGAGTTAAAAGGAACCCTCTCGGAACCCTGGGTATTTATAGCATTACCCACCGGATTAATCTCTATCCACAGGGAATAAAGCAGTTGTTTTTCCTTATACTCAAGCTTATACTTTATATCCGCCGGGAAGTGATTTGTGGATTGCCATCCACCCTTTGAACAACTTAAGGACCAGTTAGGATAAGCTTGCGAAAACTGACGTATTTCCAGTCGTCGCTTCCCTCCACTCGATGTCTTTTTGAGTTTTGGGGTAGACCCTTTAAACTGGCCAAGTTTCATTGAAATCAGAGAGATAGCATGAAGCACACCTGCCTGCTGGGGGACCCATGGATCAACCATCCATCCATATTCTTCAAATATTTCCACATCTTTTACAAGTTATATTCTGCCAATTCCGTTATTTTATTTGACTATTATTAAACCTTAAACCGTCTGTTATTAGGGCTCTAAATAATTTAAAGCAAGAACAAAAAGTCTTTACTTACAACTTCTTCAATGCACTTTATCAAATTCAATCTTCACGTCATCGCCAATTAGCACAAATGGAGCCCGTTACTTTGGAGATGAAAAACTCGTCCGAATCTCGAAGTCGTCTCATGGCCTTCTGGAAAGCAGCGCTAGTCCTCTTTCCACTTCTCTGGTGTCGATAGAAACATCTCATAATCACCATTGTGGCTTCCTCAGAAATTTTCCAGTGTGTTACCAGCACAAAAAGAGCACCAGCAAAGAAGAAAGCACATGCCATGCCAACCACACCCTCAGACGATACCTCTCCTTGAGCACTATGGTAGCAACTTAGCACAACCAGCCTCGCGTCCTCAGTTTAATATAGCTTGTTGCCCTCCTCCATAGCAAGACTAGTCTTGAGTTGCCAACCGGGGTTTGAATCCAATGCAATTTCACCAGTTTCCTTTTTTCCGTGTGCTGCGATGTGCATCACTGACCACATTAAAGCCACTGGTTCCATTCTCCGAAGCACCTCTTGTTTGATTGTAATTTCTCCCGTAAGTGGTTGAACGTTGAGAATTTCGTTTAATTTTTTTCTTCGTAATTGGGCAACATGGAGCCTTTTACAACATATAATTAAGACATACAAAGATTGGAAGACATCTTTTTATTTATGATACTAAAGCACATTATATGATTTAACTCTTATCACCTCAACGTTAGGTGGATCATTTTCCCCTAACTCGCCTTAACTCGCAAAAAGTCGCAACTGATAGTCAAGAGCAATTTTCCTTATCTCGCCTCAACTCACCTAATATTGCACTAGCTCACACAATCTCGCGGCGAGCTAAGGTCCCAGAGTAGGCCTGTACGGTGATAATCCTTGCCAAGATTGCCATATGCACGTCCTTCTCTGGCCTTGTCGCCGACTTCCTTAGCAATGTTCGGGGCTTGTTTGTGGTACTCTAATATACACTTAATGTCAGATCCCAAGGGAAACAGTTAGTTTTGTTTTCCCGAGAGTCCTGATGTTTCCCGAGACGAAGTCGAGGGAAACATCAGGACTCGAGGGAAAACAAAACTAACTGGTTTCCCGAGGGATCTGACATTAAGTGTTTTGTTATATTTCTAGAACTTTCACTTCAACAGCAACAAAAGAAT